CTGAGACTGAGACTGAGACTGAGACTGAGACTGAGACTGAGACTGAGACTGAGACGGAGTAAAGTGAAAATTTAATACATTCCTTATTGGAGCTCTATGAAACCTTGTTCCCACTAGATTAGAGATTCTGCCTTAAGCTCCTGCTCAATAGATATCACCTTGGCAGCAAACCATTGCAAGCTTTACACCTGTGCCCAATTATCACCTGCGAATAAGCCACACAAATTGCCAGCACATTTGCATTCAAATGAGAGCACTTTCACTCTCTTACTCTCTCCCTCCCTCTCTCTCTTTCTCTCTCTCTCTCTTTCTTTCTCAATCTCTCTCTCTCTCTCTTTTCGTATAACAAAATTTCAATAGAATTGGCAAATTCTGGTGGGGTCTGCCTGTGCCGCGTTGCCAATTATTGCTGCTTTCGCTTTAGCCACACGTTCAGCTCAATGGCCACGCCCACCTGCCCACACTACAGACTTTACATTCTCTTTTGATTCTTTACCTTTTCGACTCCTTTCATTTGATTTGTTTGTATTCTGTCTGCCGCTGCTGCTGCTTCTTCTTCCTCTTCTTCTTCTTCCACTCGCTGTATTCACAAATTATTCGTGTCCACTCGACTGCAGCGGCTCGACGTTCGACTTTTTTGTTTGGCCGTCTTTTAATTTGTTGCGATTTTTGTACGCTCGCATGCACACACACACACAAGCATAGGGGGCTGTTGTGAGTGTGTGGGGGGGGGGGATTGGGGGTTGTTGTTGGGGCCATTTTTGTTGGCCCACTTTACGCTCGACTTAATTTGTTTACTGTTGGTTTGGTGGCCTTTGCCAACGTCGACGCTGCGCGCGCCAAATCAAAAATAATGGCAGCTCACGGACCCCGCCCCGCCTCCACTCGCACATGCAGCCCCTCCTCCTCTCTAGAGGGAGAGAGATAGCAAGCGAGAGAGAGAGAGAGAGATGCTACGCTGTGTCGCATATTTGCGCTGCTGCAATATTTATCCAACGTTCCAGCCTCTCGCTTGCCCACTGACACGCCTCGTTCCGCCCAAAACTTTCACTCACACACACACACACGCTGACCTTTTCTCTGTCGGTGTGTGTGTGTGCGCTTTATACATTGGTTTTATGACAGTGGCTCGACCTGACCTGCATATGCCATCCATTTAGCCCGCTCGCAGCGCTCCTAATGAATTGCAAGGACCCCAAAACGATTGTCCTTTTATTTGTTTATATGTATGTGCACATTGTTGTTGCCACCATTGCTCCTTTTGTGTTCCGTTTTTATCTTTAATTGTGCGTTAATAGCGTAAACATTTTGTGCATTGTATTTCGCTGGCTCGTAATTGCGCGCGGTCATAATAAAAATGGTAGAGCAGGAGAGGGACAGCGGGACAGAGGGACAGCGGGGGGAGGCTGTGGGCGAGAGACACTGAAATGAGTCCTTGGCGCGCATTTGGCATGCATTAAGCGCCCCATTGAAATCCTTTCATCGTCGTCCTTGGCTTTGTGTATTGAAAAGCCGCGAAACGCAGCCGATTTCGCATGTTTCGCCAGACCGCGGGCTATTCGCTGTCGTCGTCAGTGCAGCGAGAAGCAACTGCAATATGCTGCTCAGAGCTAACATGTTTACTTATCACTTTGCTCCTCTGGCACTCCCGTTCGTCTGTTCCACTTGCTTTTCTAGGATTCACTTGGGTCTAGCTTTTGTTGCTTGGAATTTAACTTCTGATTGTGCTTCTCTGTTCGCTTCTTTCATCATATTAAGGAGAGTTTTTCACTCTTTCTCTCTCTCTCTTTCTCTCTCTCTTTTTCTCTCTCTCTCTCTCTCACTCTCTTTCCCTTCGTACTTCTCTTACTCCTACTTCTCTCTCTTGTTTACTCTTCCTTTCTCCCTCTACTTTCTTCTCATTTCGCTTCCCACTTCTCGCTTCATCAATACTATTCTCTGTATATGTGGATCTCTTGCTTCAATTGCTATCTCTAGATTTGCTTTTCTAGTTTTACACTCTCTTCTTCTTCCATCTTTCTCTCTTCTCTCAACTCAACTACATCAGAGAAGCCTTTGAGCTTCTCACTTTCGTTTGCTCAGCAACTTGAACCACATTCCACTAGCTTTTGTCTTATATAGTTCATGTGAATCTGACTAGAATTTCGAACTTAACTCATCGTATCGACTCTTATGAAAAGTACACGATTCAAGTTTCTCGCTTCTCGCTTCCGTCGATAGATTATTTTAGTATTACTTCGCATCTATGTCGCCTCTATTCCACTTCTTAAGCCGCTCTCTGTCTGTGCTCTGCATTTCATTACTACTCTCTCTCTCTCTCTCTCTCTTGCCCTCCCTCTCTTGCACTTCTTCACTTATTACGCTTCTCTCTGGCAGTCGCATTGCTGCCCTAATCCAACTATTTCTTGTGCTCTTTCTGCTTCGCTTCTCCTTAAGCTCGAATGCAACTGCAACAAGCTGCGCTTCTTGTTCTGCTTCTTGCCTCAGCTGAGTCGCAAAACCATCCGCAGCCATCCATCAGGCCATGGATGCTAATGCCAATGTTTTCATGGTCGTAAGCCTTGGTTATATTAACAGCCATTTGGCTCTGAAGCAGACTTCAGATACTGATGCAGTGAGCTGCTCACATCGGGCCGAGACTGGCCCGGACTCGGCGCTGCTCTGGCTAATATGCTGGCTAAAAGGCTTACTGAAGTTGTTGCAACATTGCATTATAATGCCGCTGGCTGGCTGCGGCTGCCTGACTGCTGTCCGAGATGAATGAATGACTGACTGAGTGACTGTCATCAATTTGTGCCATTTCTTTCTGCCACAAAACACACACACACAAAGGGGGCGACAGAGTGCGAGCGAGCGGAGCAGGAGTTGTTGCAAGAATAAGCAGCAATGGCAGCACGTCGAGCACAAAATGCAGCCAAGTTGACAAGCACTTGAGTGCGCATTAGAGGCGATAGTAAACAGCTATCTGGCATCCTTGTGCCTCGTGCCGCATGCCTCATGCCGCGTGCCTCGTGGCTGCTGGCTTTGCGTGGCATGCCATAAAAACCTAGACAGCGGACAGAGGGGTGGAGTGGACGGCGGGGGTGCACGATTGGGCGCTCGACATGTTTTGCTTAAATCAGCACACAAAAGCAGTCAACAGGCAATAGCAGGCAATCGCTATGCAAACTAATCTCTCGATGCTCTGTCTTTAACTAAAGAGCTCCTCAAGAGAGAGTTGGACTAGCACGAGGATATATGTAGATTCTAAGCGAGCTGGTTCTATTTGGGGCTGCTACACACCTTGACTAGGTGGTACTTATCAAAACTACCAGCTAATCGATACTTATCGATTAATTTAACTTTTGTTAATATTAGCTTCCTCTCTTTCAACTTTCTCCAAGCTGTGACCAAGTCTGCCATAACATAACTGATCGTTGTCGATTATCGACTAGAGATATCGACTGTCCGCTTAGTTTAACTTTAGTCAATATTAGCTTTCTCTCAGTCAACTTTCTCCAAGCTGCGTAGACCAAGTCTGCCATAAGCATAAGTGATCGTTATCGATTATTATCGACTAGAGATATCGACTCTCCGCTTAGTTTAACTTTAGTTAATATTAGCTTTCTCTAAGTCAACTTTCTCCAAGCTGCGTAGACCAAGTCTGCCATAAGCATAACTAAGCGCTATCGATTATTATCGACTAGAGATATCGAAGCTCTTAGCTTTCCAGATATACCCATCTGGTATGCAGTATCGATGCATATGACATGCGTTTTATGATATCTAAATCTAAAGTCCATATCTTACTTTTCTATTCACACGTCTCTCTTTGCTTTATCTAACTTCTTTTGCTCAAGGTCTGCCTCACACTTTGGTTTTCGCTTTGCCTCTCTCTTATCTCATAGTTCTTTCCCTGACTTCAGTTTGTCAATTTCTCTGATGGTTTCTCTCGTAGGTGTTTCTTGATAAGGTCTCTACCAATCTCTCTTTGCGCTTCTTTCTCACTCTCTTCTATTTTCCCGTTCTACTTCCCACTTCCTTTGCCCACACCCAACATCTCTCATCTAGTTTCTTCCTCCCCCTATTCCAATACTCTCTCAGTTTCCCGTTTCGCTCACTTAGAAGAGGGCATCTGCTAGTCGGATTTGTTCGTGCTTTTATTTACAGCATGTTTATGCATGCTTTGTCTTCATCTTGCGCTTTTCCTCTGGAGTTTTGGTTTCCTTAACTATAGCTGACGATCTGTGTGACATGCACGTGGTTCGAGCGCATCTCGATTCTGGTTATCCTGTTGAACTGCATCACCCTGGGCATGTACCAGCCCTGTGTGGACGATACCTGCTTGAAGCCGCGCTGCAAAATATTGCAGGTGAGTAAAAACTTAAATACATACATATATATATGGGTGGGGAGCTGGGAGAGAGTGGAATCCTTGAGCTGCCGACGCTGGCGTCACATTAACTGTCATTTATTTAAGCAATTTTTTGGCTCACTTCCTGTCTGGCTTGCTGATGACATCAAACAGGCACTTCGGCTCATTAGGCAGCCAACGCACACACCGTGGGGCTAGAGGGGGCGGGGCAGATGCGGGCAAATGCGAGCTGGTTCCTGGGGTTTTTCTTTTCTTTTTTTTTTAGGGCAATTACAGAGCCACGGCTCTGGCATAGAAAATGTTTCCCTGGCAGAGGATGGGCGGGGGCGGCAGGCGGGAGGGGGGAGGGTGGAGGGGGGTGGAGCGTCGCCAACGTGCGAAAATGTTTGTAAATGATATGGAAGGCAGACATTTTCGGCCGCAGCCAAGTGTAAAGCGTGCGAAGGGCGACAAATTGGCAAAGCGGGCAGGGGGGAGGGGGCAACGAGGCTAGCCCCAAAGTGCGACCGAGATGGAGAGCGAGCCAGGACATAAGTGGCGCCCAAATTGCTGAGAATTGTTTGAGCAGTGCCAAAAAGACAAGGACGGCAAGAGAAGACACAGTGTGCGAAAGAGACAGCGCAATGCGACTAGAAGCACAAATGGAATTGAAACTAAAGTTGAAACCGAAACAGAAACAGAAAGTGAAACTGGAACAGGTCCTGCTGAGCTGCGTCGGTTCCTTGGTAGTTTTCTCTGTTTGCTCAAAATGTTATTATGCTGGTCTGGGGTGGGCGTGGCACTTCATGCATGGCGCAGCAACACGTAGTGCCAGCCAAAGTGGACAACAGCTCATTTTGACAAGTGTCAACCACATTACGCTTTAGGCACTAAATGAGCCACACGCTCACTCCACCTATCTAGCTCCCCCTCTCCTCCCTCCCTCTCTCTCTCTCTCTCTATCTCTGTGTCATTCTCTAAATGCCTCTGCTTGTCACAGTTCATTATCTCAGTTAGTTCAGATTCCTGGCAAAATCAACTTTGCGGCTAAGCTGAATCAAGCTGAAGTTAACTCGGAAAAAGATTCGGGTGTTGAGAGCAATTGGAGTAGGTGTATAGCTGCAGTAGAGGCGCAGTTTATGGAAAATGATATATTTGAGTTGTATAATAATCATGTCAGCTATGAGCCGAAGCAAGGTGTTGGCTTTTAGAATCAATAGATCCCGTGCCAATTGAGGAATCCTATAGAATCCAATAGATCTGCCATAGGACTCTGAAGAAAATGATGTTAGGCTCAGCTCTTATTAGGTCCTCAATATACAGATAGACAGAGAGTTACACAAATATCAATATTATAGTAATCGCAACTAGAGAGGATGGCACTAGAGTTAGCTATCGACACACAACTATATGACTATCGATAGTTAGCTATAGTGCTATCGATACTCGACTAGAGTGTCATTGGCAGAAGAGAAAGAAAGTGAATATAAACTGAGCCATAGAAGTTCTACTGGTTGGGTTCTCCCCTTGAATGTCTGGCCTGGACTGAACTCTCCAGCCTCCTTAGATTGTCGATAGTCTTAACGATCTAATTGCATTCCTTCACATATCACTCACACAGATCTTCGATGACATCATCTTTGCCTTCTTCGCCCTGGAGATGACCATCAAAATGGTGGCCATGGGCATGTGCGGCAAGAACACCTATTTGGCTGACTCGTGGAATCGACTGGACTTCTTCATAGTGCTGGCCGGGCTGCTGGAGTACGTGATGCATGTGGAGAACCTGAACCTGACTGCGATACGCACGATCCGAGTGCTGCGGCCGCTGCGCGCCATCAATCGCATACCCAGTAAGTGCGCACTACCGTCGGTTAGTCACCCTTCACTCACTGCACTCTCGTTGCACTCTCGCTGCAGGCATGCGAATCCTGGTGATGCTGCTGCTGGACACGCTGCCCATGCTGGGCAATGTGCTGCTCCTCTGCTTCTTCGTGTTCTTCATCTTTGGCATTATCGGCGTGCAGCTCTGGGAGGGCATCCTGCGGCAGCGCTGCACTCTGGAGCGACCCGAGGGCATGATCTATCCCATAACGTAAGCGAGTTTAACTGAAATCCCCAATGACCCCTCCCACTGGGGTTTATTTGCTCCTTTTGATTTCACTTTTGGTTTCCTTTTGTGTGGGGTGGGGAACATTCGATTCGACTCGATTCGACTCGATTCGATTCGATTTCACGGACTGAGCTCAACTGAGCTGACGACGCGTTTGGGTCACATATGTCTGTCTCTGTCTCTCTGCAGGCGCCTTAAATGCATATATATATATATATATATATATATATA